AATCCCTTTCAACGGTTCATTCCCATTGAAGGAACTGCCCCGTTGGAAGACAACCATTCGAAGACCCTGAAGCATGCCAAACATTGTTCTCGGGATTCCAACGCCACGGATCAACCTGACTGTTGCGTTTTGACGAGCCTGAATCGGGCCAGGACGCCATTCTTGGGACTTCATCACCGCGAACGAAAGTAACTGTTGCACTCTCATAATCCTGACTCCTTCCGAAATGGTATTTCTTGTACTTTGATTATGGGGGTCCGTGTAAATCTTGTAAATGTCATTAGCGAATGTGCGAGGCGCTACGGCGGGAACCAAATCTTGAAAAGGAACCGCCCTCAATCCGCGAAACTCTTGTAAATGATTAAGGCGAGTGTGCGCGGCGCTAAAGCGAGAACCACATGTTAAAAAGGAACCGCCCTCAATCCGCGAAGCTCTTGCAACATGTTAAAAAGAATGTGCGCGGCGCTAAGGCGAGAGCCACATTTTCAAAACAGGTTCCTCTCAATCCGTGAAGCTCTTGCAAAATGTTAAAACGAATGCGCGCGGCGCTAAGGCGAGAGCCACATGTTGAAAACCACCCGCCTTTAGTCCGCGAAGCTGTTGCAACTTGTCAAAAGGAATGTGCGCAGCGCTAAGGCGAGAGCCACAGTTTGAAAAGGACCTGCCCCGCATGTGTGAAACTGCTGGCAGCTTTGACATTCCAGGGCCACCAGTGGTGAGGAAGTCTCCGGCGAAACGCTCGGCCCGCCCGAAAAAACTGGCTTCGGGGTCCGACATGGAGAAGTTATCTATAAGGGAGGAGGAGGAGGAGGAGGATGAGGAGGAGGAGGAGAAGGAGGAGGAGGAGGAGACGGGCGAGGAGGAGGCGGAGAAGGAGGACGAATGTCAGGAGCAGGAGCAGGGAGGACAGGGACGGCGGGGCCCTCAGGACCACCCAAGACCGAGGCGGAGAATCACACACATCCACCGCCTGGGGAACCGATGTCCTGGGACCTCAGGAGGCGGCAGATATGGACGCCTTATGGCCCCCTGAGCCCAAGTCTGCCCACATCCATCGCCTCTCGGGGTCCTGGGGCATCGGTTCCCCAGGAGGCGGATCTGTGCAGATTCCCACGAGAACTCGTGGGCGAAACACCTATCCATACCCGCGGCCTCGCGGGCCGGGCCCCTGCCTGGGCCGCAATCCCGCGTACACGTGGCGTTTTCTCCTAGATGTCGCGCACGGAAGGCACCTGTGTGACCACGTTTCCGCGGGACCGCGCCCCAGAATCAAGACCGCGAGGGCGCGGATACCCAGACGTGCGATGTCTTGATTTGTTCAATTCGCGGCCCCCGAAAACCCGACCATTTCCCCAGGGCTGGTTTTTTATCCCGAATAATGTTTGATGACAGTCTCCGACGCGAATCGAAGCTAGCCGACCCGAATCGACGCTAACCGACGCCAAGTCGACACTAATCGAAGCTCGTCGACGCTAAGTCGACGCTAATCGACGCTGGTCGACGCTAAATCGGCCCTGGCTAGTCGACTACTAAACGCGAATCGACGCTGACGCACGCGAAATATGAAATTACGAGGGCATCAAGGCTCCCATGATTCGCTTTCGAAGGATACGGTAGGTTCGTGCGGCGTCGGCGCGCGCAAAGGTCTTTGACACCGCGTCGATCGTTCAACCTTGAACAGATCGCGGCCCCGATCGTTCAAGGTTGAATTCCGTCGTGCCCTGTGGCGGTACCCTGTCCCTCGGTGCTTCCGCGTCGTTCTGTGGAATTCAACCTTGAACGCCTTCGCTGGCGTCGCTGGCAAGCCCTCGCTGCACGAACCTACATTACCTTCGCCACTCGTCAGGACCCTCAGGACAGCCAAGCTAATCGGGGTCAACCCTATGCCAGGCCTCATGGGGACTTCAACTGGACCAGACACGTTGGGCCCAACACTGGGATGTACGACGGAGGGCGCCCATCCTCGATCGGGGTGCGTCCGAATAGCCCTCTCGGGGTGCACCTCGAGGCTCCCAGCGGCCCCAGAGGTCCCCAGAGGCCCCACGAGATCCCCACCCCTTCCTCGGAGGTGGCTTCTCGTCGCGGATCCGTTCTCTGCCGGTCCCTGGGCCCGGTGACGGGCCCCGGAGGCCGAACTCCTGGAAAAACCGCCGGATTCTCTGGGACCCTCAGGATCTCTGGGACTCTCGGATCTCTGGGACCCTCAGGTCCCTCAGATAAACCCGAACTCTTCGGATCTCAGAAAAAAACCCTTGGGTTTTTCTGAGAACCCGAACTCCTCGGATCTCTGGGACCCTCAGGACAGCCAAGCGACCGCGGTGGGCGGAGTCTTGGCGGGCACGCGGAACCGCCGAGCGGCAGCCATGCGCGCCCCCCCTTCCCCCCCCAGGCGCGCAGGGCTGGTCCCTCGCCGGCCAGCGCTGCGGGCGGGCCCGGGCTGCTGCGGAGGGCATGGAGGAGGAGGGAGCACCAGGGATAGAGGGGGATCGAGGATCGAGGAGAGCCCAGACAAGATCGCGCCGCAACAAGCATCACGTCGGGTGAGGCCGCGTTGTTTTCGGGCCGGGGGGCCCTCGCCTGGCCTCAGAAGCCAGTCCTGGGGAATGGGTCGAGACCTCTGAGGGTCGACGTTATGAAAAAATCCCGGCGACGACGTCGGGGTCCGAGACCGGGGAGCGAGGGAGGTCGAGGATCGCGGAGAAGGAGGGAAGATCGAGGGAGATAGCTGAAATGAGAGGGGAGAGGGGAGGAGGCAGGATCGAGGAGCGAGGTAGGGGGGAAGATATAAGAGGAAGAGCTTCGAGGAGAAAGGAGGACCCAGACACCCGGTTGCTCCAATTTTTTCGATGCGTGGGCCCCAAAGGTCCAGACCACTTCTCTAGGGCCGGCTTTTCGACCTGAGTCGTTTTTTGACGCTCCCGAGGCCCGGCGAGGGCCCCCGGAGGCCGAAAACGGCGACAAAAACACCCGCTACACTTTTTATTGGAGCGTCGGATCTTCGGGGAGAGAGGATCGAGGAGGATATATTCTATATCTCTATAATCTACATATATATATGTATATATGTATATGTGTATGTATGTATATCTATATGGGCGATTCTGGACGCCCTGAACCCAAAAACGTGTTCGTCTCTTGGGGGCGCATCTTTGACTTCGGCTGCCTCCCGCCTTCCCTCCGCCGGCGGAGGTGGCCTCGTTTTACTTCCGCCGACCTTCCGCCGAGGAAGAGATGGCATCTCTTTCTATCCTCGAAGGCAAGGCCCTTTTTGGAACGTGCCCCCCACACACATGTATATATATGTATATATATGTTCATACACATATATACATATATATATACATATACATGTATATGTATACGATATGTATATATATACATATTCATATACACATATATATATATATATTCATATACGCATACATAAACATAGATACATATATAAATATGTATTGATTCAGCTCGAGAGTGAGAGAGACCTTTTAAGGGGGAGGTGTGTGCGCCTTTGGCGGCCTCCGATCAGGCAGAGACCCTCCAGCCCGGATGGAGAAGGGAAGGGCAGAGGCAGGATATGAGGCGGCGACGGTGACGAGAGGCAGGAGGAAGACACGGGGACGCGCGGGGAGGAGGAGGCCAGGAAGAGGGAGGGGAGGACGAGAACCAGGAACCCAGAGATCCGACGCTCCAACAAACATCGGAGCGGGCGGTGTTGGGGCAGCATTCGGCCTCCAGGGGCTCTCGCTGGGCCTCGGGGAGCGTCAGAAAACGACTCGGGGCGAAAACCTGGCCCTGGGGAAGTGGTGCAGACCTCCAGGTCCCGCGCGTCGAAAAGATTGGAGCAGCCAGATGTCTGGGCAGGAGGGAGGGAGAAGCGGAGGAAGGAGAGAGCGTGGCTGTGCAGCAGCGGCAGCACACCCGGCAGCTGAAAGAGCAGCAAGGTCACCACGCTGGAGGGGGAGCGCGCAGAAAGCACACTTGTCCTTGTCGTTGTAGTCACCCCCCTCTCCATCCCCCTCCCCCTCCTCCTCCTCCGTCCTTTTCTTCGATCTGCAACGACACGACAGCAAGCACCATCGCAACCCCTCTGGACGGCGGCGACGGGGGAGACGACAATCTGTGTGAGCGCGCACGTGAAGAAAGCACCCATCCACATGCCTCTCTTCTTCTGCTGCTCCCCCTCGTCCTCCTCTGCTTCGTCCTCCCCTTCGTCCTCCCCCTCCACCAACTGTCCTCCTCCTCCTTCTCCTCCTGTTCCTCCTCCTCTGCGTCCTCTTCGTACTTCTTCTTCTCCTCCTCCTCCTCCTCCTCCTCAGCCTCCTCCTCCTCCTCAGCCTCCTCGTCGCCCTCCCCCTCCACCGCATGTCCTGGAGGTCTTTTCGTTTCCTCGGCCTCTCGGGCTGCTGCCGAGTTGCAACTCGACGTCGCAACCAACTGCGTCGCATCCGTCTGCAGAAGTCTGCTTCTCACCGAACGTACCATCGGGGAGACGTAAGACTGGGGTTCGGGGGAGTCGGGTTGGCCTGACGGGGCCGTCAGGAAAATGACGAGACCCAGCCTGAAATTTGACGCGATCTCCCGCAGCAGACATCCCACGAAAACTGGACAGTCAACATCCAGGACGCGCTCGTCAAAAAGCGTCGGCAAGCCCGAGTTCCGGCGTACTCGAGTCTTACGCTTCTCCGATACAATGACGAACTTACGGCCATTTGTTGAAGTGGCTGGGCTGCCCGGCTGCGGGCTTGGCCCGCTCCTTCCTGGAGAGGTGCCGGAGGAAAACGGTACCTCCTCATCAGGCGCTCTCCGTGGCCCTGCTGCCGCACGCAAGGGGTTGCACGCAGCACCGCAGCAGCTGAGCGGAGAGATCCGAACCAGCATGTCACGGCCTTTCGAGCGCGGACTTGCCTTGGGTCCGTGCGCTGGGATGCGACAGGGCCGCCAGGGCCGCTGACGAGTCCGCGAAGGAGTTGCCTGGGGAGGGCGACTCGTCAGTTGTGCTGTTCAGTGCGTGAGGTTTCGCCCTGTCATCAGACGACCTGCCGCAATCGAAGACCGCCCGCCTGGACATCTCCAGGTGTGGCTCCTGACCAAAACCTCAGAGCGGAACCAGCCGCGGCGACGGGATACTATCCCAATGGCCGAAATGACGGAGCAGCACCCACGCAGACCCGACCGACCCTCGAGCCTCGATCCTCTTCTGTCCACCGAAGGAACCGTGTCGCCGCCGCCGTCGTCGCCCTTTTCCGCCGTCGCCGCCGCCGTCGTCGCCGTCGTCGTCGCCGTGGTGGCCCCCGCCGCCGCCGTCGTCGCCGCCGCAATCGTCGCCGTCGTCGTCAAAGCCGCCGCCGCTGTCGTCGAAGTCGTCGCCGCCGTCGCCGTCGCCGAACTCGTTGCCGGCGCCGCCGCCGCCGAAATCGTCACCGCCGCCACCGTCGAAATCGTCGCCGCCGCCGCCACCGTCGCCGAAGCCGCCGCCGCCGTCGCGGAAGTCGTCGCCGCCGCCTTCGTCGTCGAAGTTGGCAACTTTCCAGATGGAGCATACTTGCCCCTCTGGGCGGCCCGACGATAATCGTAGCTTGGACGGTAGGCCTACGTCTACATAGGTAACTTAGGCCGATCGTCAGGGTGAATGTGCTTCTTTTTAGCGACCTTGCTAACGTTTGTTGTACTGTTCGGGGTCCCGCGATTCGGCGCGACTTCGGAAACGTCCAAAACATACAGCAAAGTAGGGAGGAGGAGGAGGGATGAGTGGGAAAATGATGATGGGGGGCATGATGAGGAGAGGGGGAGGGGGGCGTTCGGTTTTGTCCCCATCGCACAAGTATTAGTCTTAGTGTACGCCCTCAGACAAAGAGAGAGACCCTTACCATCCCACGATATTGTTTTAGCTCATGAAGGGGTCGCACCAATACCAAGTCTGACTTTGTCGTCCCCCTCCCCTCCCATTCCCTCTCTGGCTTCCTTTCCCCATCGTCCATTGCATTTTCTTGTCTTGTTTGGCTCGTGAGGCGCTTTCCGTGTCAGTTCCAGACTCCATACCATCCGTATGGATTACCTCCTCGTGCTTGTCGCGGCTGCGGCCGCATACATATCATTCATGGAACCTGTCCGCCCTCTTGTTGGCGTGTGGCTTTGCAGGTGGCCAAACGAGATTCGACTCCAGAGGAAGAGTGGGAATGCCAGAATATACCCAAACAGAGTTGCCCATACGCCCCGCATGGGGGACCTGATGCGTCGGGCGGAAGCTTCCAGAGGTGAAGATCAGGACGTTCCGGACGATAGTCAGTCCAAGATGACTATAGACGGCATCATGCTGGTCAAATCGAACTTCATTTACGATGCTGCAAGGCCGCTCACCATCTTTCAGGAGGAGCAGCGTAAATTCTGGAGTGTTCTGGCAGATGGCGCATGCCACGTGGATCAACTGTACTACTTCGATGTTGTCAAGATGATTCCCTTTCTTCACGACGCCAAGTGGGACTGTTTTGGTGATACGCCAGTTGGGAGGCAAGGCTTCTTCAAACACTTACCAGAAGCGAAAGTTCATGCTATGATCGACACGCTTGCAGATCAATATGGAACGCTACCTGACTGGGCATCGTGCCGATCTATCACACACGCGGCCTGTGGCGACCAATTTCAACTACCTGTGCTCTGTGTTTCTGTACCCTCGTGCTGGGCTAGCGTGATCAAAGCAGAGGTTCTTGATCAGCAGGGTTATTCGACTTTCAGCTTATGCAATCTCAACAGATGGGACGTTCCAAATATCAAATGGACGAACGTGTGGAGCGCTTCCGAACTTGATCAGCAGAGGCGTCGCCACCGAGGCGGAAATCTCGATCTACCATTGCTGGCGCTGAAAGATTCTTTCCCTGAATGCAGATTTGATCGACCTTCGGACGATCACTTCGAAGAGCATCGGACTCTCGATGCGGGCACGATCGATCGCGTCATAGCTGATTTGAAGAAGCCCGTGACTGACGCGCTGAAGCAACTACCACAGAGGACTCTGGCTGAATACCCGCATGCGGTGAATGCTCACGACGCCTTTGCCTTGCTAAGCCGTTTCGCTGACAAGATGCGCAGCGCTAGAGCGCAGCATGAGGGCAAGGACCCCAGGTGCAAGTACAACGCCGTGGACATAGTGAACATGTTCATGATGTCAAACTTCTTGAAGAACGACGCGGAGTTGAAGAGGGCTTGCTTCTGGGCGGTTCGAGCAGTTCTCCCGGGACACATGGCAAGTGCTTTTTGTTCTTCGATCGAAAACGAACGTGTCCATGGGCGGGTGCCAAGTACAGCGACTCTGTCGCGGCTGCGGGGTCGAGTTGATGTGGCCTGGATGGTAGCAGCAAGGCGTCTGATCAAATACTTGATGGAGGAAGAGGGCGGCGTCGTTGTGTACCCAATTCCAGACTCAAGTCCTCAAGCAGGACGCGACTACGAGATGACGGTGCTCACAATCATTGCGCGAGACAACCTGGTCAAACTGCACGAGCTTTCAGGCCAGCTGGATTATTTTAATCAGACCCGGGCGTACGAGGATCGCATTCGCGAGTGGGAAACCGAATCAGAGGTCATGGAAAAAGTCGAAACCATGATCATGAGGCACGTGGCCCCTGCAGTGGAATTGGGATTTGGGCGGGCTAACCTGGCAGCAAAGTTCCACGCCATCATGCATCAACTGTATCTTCTGAGCCCGTCCGTCGAACAGTTCTCGGAGATCGTCCGCTCCGTGCCCATCTGGCTCTCGGATCAGGGCACAGAGAGTGGGATGGCCCGCATCAAGCCCATCAAGGTGGAGAAGGTGCTGGACGTCTTCAAGCCCGGCCACGACGCTGCCGAGGTGCCCCCTGCTTGGCGCCAACTGGCCTGAACCCTGGCCCAAGGACTACGGGGTTGGGGATGGTTCCAGGGGGTTCAGTTCCGGAGAGCCTGGGCCCAGGGGGGCGGGGTTCAGGTGGCAGTTGGCGCCAATCAGGGGGCCAGAGCCAGAAGGTTGATTTCGCAGAGCCTGCGCCTCAGGGGCATGACGACGACATGATCGACATGACTAGGAGCCTCGAATTCAGCGGGACACTTCACCTGAACCACAACTCTGGCAAGCACCTGAAAGACGTGATGACAGATTACAAGGATGCTGTATGGAGGCTCAGTAAAGTAGCAGAGTTGTTAGACAACCCTGCGTCGAAGGAACGGCTTCAGGCGACGTGCTTCTCGCAGTCGCCAGTCCTGAAAGTCTTGTTCGAGCCCATCAAGAAGTTCAAAGGCCACTGTCACGTTGAGCGCTGGGGCACAGTTGCCAACACAGTACTCCACATCACAGGCGACGTCGAAGCGGGCTTACGGCATGGTTGGGACGCTCTGAAATATACCCATGGCAAGAAGTCTAAAGATGATGGTGATGAGGACGACTTACGCGTCAAGATGCAAGTCCTGGATGAAACAATCAAGTCGCCGTACTGGTGGGCCTACTGGGGTATGCTTGAGAAGATCGCACAGGCACTGTTTGATGTACTCAAGTGGTGTGAATCGTGCTCCTGCCATTTCGACCTCCTGGAGTTCCTCGATAAGGGCGACCATCCATTCGACGAGGACGTTGTCAAGACGGTTCGCGACGGGGCTTCAAAGTGCCCGTTGAGAGGCATGCGATGCCATGACGTGTGCGCGGGCCTCCTGCTCGATTTCGTGAAGGACCGCCTCAACTACCACATCGCAGAGTTCACCAGTCAGCTGCCCGGCGACATCTCAAAGGAGCAGGCGAAGAGCATCATAGAGCAGTGTGAAAATGGCAGGGCCCATATTGTCGCGTATTACTCGGTCAAGTTGGCACATTGCAACACAGCAGCCTACAGCGTAGTTGGGATGGCATGTGGAATACACAAGAGGGCAGTAAAATGTTACCGTCGAGTTGTGGAGAATGCTGGTGGGAATCGTATTGTCGAAGACTTTCTCAAAAATGGGACCCTTCTTGATCAAGCGGACGAGTGGAGTATCGATGGTTTTCAAGCGACTGGGGATTTGCCTGCACTTCGCCACTGGATGGCAGTGTTTCGTTTCGCTCCCAGTGCAGAGAGAGTTGTTGAGGGCACGCATGCTCAGGTCAAGCATGAAACAAAGAGGGCCCCGAACCATGGAAACGCCCTGGTCAGCTTGTCTAATCGGATGCCCAACCTCAGCAAGTACATAACCTCCAGTATGGACACCTTCAACTCTTTTGTACACGATGTCCAAAACCTGAGCTCTGGCCAGAAGGCTTGCGCGGAGCTCGGCCTGGATAAGCATCCCAGTGCAAGTGTTGCAGCGCGCTTCGGGAGTAGAGACAAGCGTTTCTGGCAAGTCATCTACCACTCAGACCCGTTCACGAAGTACCAGATGGAGTTGCCCAAGATCGAGATCGTGAAAACTGAGACTGTTGAGCACCCGCGCAAGATCAAGTTGCTTGAGACCGACTGCCCCTGCAAGAGAGACGCCTTTGTCAACCACGTGATCGACTCGTTGAAAGCTGATGGCACCATTTACAGCATGCCCCTGCAGCGCAATGCCCTCGTAGCCCTGGGCGACCTCCTTCAAGTGGGTGACCTGAAAGAGATGGGTGATGAGTTTGATGATGGTTACCGCGCAGATTTATGGGGAGACCCAGATTGCCAGCTCTCGGAGGTCATGTTCTTCAAAGTGATTATCTCTGACATCGGTCGCATCCCCCGGCCGAAAGTACGAGGCCAACCAGAGCTCACAGGCGTCAAGACTTTGATGGTGCACAAACTGCTTAGGTACAACGCTGCTAACGGCACTTCCACAGTTAGCGTCAACGGGATGGGCCAGGAGATTGGCGATTGTGCAGTACCATTCACTCTCCATCCAGCTGTGATCGAGCCAGAGAACTTGTTCAAGGTGATTCGTTGGGAGCGTGCTGGCTTCGACTTGCAGCTGAAGCTACCCGGGCACTACGAGTCGAAGATTCCAGTGAAGCAGATGCAGTGGTTTAGCAATGTGGTCCCAACACTTCTGAAGTACCCGGACGGCTGCGAACAGGACGCCGCCATACCGACTGACATTCCTGACGCCAAGGAGCTCATGGGCACGCTCTGCGAACTGGGTCTCTGGGAGGGCCCGCCGTACAAGATTACGCCATTGGGAAAGGCATCTCTTGAAGTTGGGATGGATCTGCGTCGCCCTCAGCCTGTGTTGAAAAGCCTCGAGAGGGGCGATGACATCACCAAGGCAACCCTGGCACAGTTGATATTGCGCGTCGAACTGGAAGGCTTTCAGAACAAAGACGTATCAACCTCAAGGACCGTGTCTGTCAGAAGCATTGTCTGGCCAAGAGTTGTGTTGGGGAGCTGGGGGTAGGGGGAAGCGGGGGAGGTCTAGATGATCATGGTGTGGGAGGTCCGTGCACCAAGGGGGTCAGGGGGTCGAGGGGGCGGTGGCTCAGGCAATGTTTCAGGCCGTCCACGAAGGGAGAAAAAGCACGCAATCAAGAACCCGCACCGAACTGGCCTGGACAAGAAGTGGTACTCGTTCAAGGGGTACTCCGTATCCAAATATTACCTGATGGCCATGGTGAAATCAATGGACAAGGAGTCGGGCATCGACGAGGTGCCGCATTTCGCTACGACTGCAATGTACATGCAGATCCTTGGAATGGCTCCGCGCCCTGAGCGCAATCAAAATATGCCTACCATCGGCGACGAAGACTGGCCTGAGGACCACATCCCACTGCCAGTCAGGAAGAAGGCGCGCACCACGAGGGGCGTAACGCTCGACAAGACCAGGAAGGCCACGGCAGGCGGTGGCGACGAGGAGGAAGCCGTGGAGGTCATCGACATCGAGGGCTCCGACGACCACGGCGAGGAGCAGGGCGAGGAGGACGAGGAGGAGGAGTCGGACCCAGAGGACTCTTCTTCGAGTACCTCAAGCTCGACAACAGGATCATCTGCCTCTTCGACAAGCGGCGAAAAGGAGGACGACGACGGCAGCGCGGACAGCGGTGATGATGCCGACCCCCCGTTCGTGTACCGCGAGGACGGGCTGGGCAACAAGTACTACAGGTACGTGAGCTTGTACAAGACCTTCCACAAGATTTCGGGCGAGTTCACGGGGTGGCAGGCCCACTGCAGGAGGGCTGGCCACAACGCGAATGGCAAGTGCACCAAGAACCAGACTGCCAAGTCGGATGGCGGTGCCGAAGGAGTGCAGCGCCGCCTGCTGCACTGGGCCTGCATGGGCGGGGGCTGCGCGAACAAGCCGCAGCACAAGGACAAGTGGGAGCAGGTCGTGGACGACTGGAACAACGACCTGATCGGCGAGCTCGCCGAGTTGGAGGTCGCGGCCTGCGACCCTTGAGTGCCAGCAGGTGGCATGCGTCAAAACAATACTCCTCCACCCAGTCCCATTCGCCTCACCCCTTCCCCTCCCCTTCCCCTTTCTTCCCCTGCCATTCCCTTCCTTTTCCGTACCCCTGCCTTCTCCCTTTCCCTCTCCTCCCTCTCTCACTCCCTCCCCTGACTCGTTATCCTCCTCCCCTCCCTCCCTCTCACCTCCCCTGCCTTTCCCTTACCCTCCCTCTCCCTCGCCCAATTCATCTGACCCCCCTCCAACCTCAGGCGCCGTTCTCGGTGCCCGACCAGGCGCGCGCTCGACCCACCCGGCCCACGAAGAGGATGAGGATGAGGACGGATGAGGAGGGCAAGACTGAGATGTGGATATGCAGTATGATACCACTGAGGGGGATGAGGTAATAGATGAGAATGAGGGGGCAAGGGGAGGAGGGTGAGGAGCTGGAGGAGGCGGATGCACAATCAAGGCGGCCCCAGTGTAGGATTGTACCACACGTCGTTGTGACTCCTCTTGGGTCCCTCTTGGAGCCCTCCTGGGGCCATCTTGGAATCGTCTTGGGCCCTCCCAAGCCGTATTGGTAATCCCTGAGATGGCCCGGCGACGAAGACGACGACGACGGCCACCGCCGCCAAGGGGGACAAAACTTGTTAACACGGGGGCGTGCCGTTCCATGGGAACGACGACGACGACGACGACGACGACACGACGACACGGCTGTCGTGATAAGTCGATCGCCCACTTGTGAGACCCTCTTAGTGCCCTCTTGGAGCTCTCTGGAGGCCCTCTTGCGGCCCTCTTGGAACCCTCGTAGGGCCCTCTCGGAGGGGGGCCCACAAGGCTCCTTGGTAGGATACCGTTGCGCCCTCTCATAGCTGTCTCAGGGCGTTCTTGAGGCTCTGGCGATGCCCCCACAGGAGGGTCCTGGACGGTATCCGAAAAAGGCCTGCTGGTGTCGTGGGGTGCCCTCGTCTCGCCCCTCCTCCCCTCCTCCGGCGGCGAGGCGACTCGTGCTCGCCAACTTCGAGGCTTGCTTCGACGAGGCCGTGCGGCCGCCGCCCTCTGCCTCTCCTCTCTCCTCCACCCTCTGGATCCCCTTCCTGTCCTTGAGCGTCGGTGGCCCTCTCTTCCACTGGGGCGTCGGAGGCCGAGTCGGATGCGTGAAACAACGGGGTGGTGAATTCTTGCACGGAGCAAGCCCAGAACATAACAAAACGGGCGAACGCTGAGATTACGGCATGGAAAGGCCGCCCATGGAGCCGATAACGTGCTAATACCCCTGAAACGCCGCCCATGGAGCCGATAACGTGCTAATACCCCTGAAACCAGCAAAACCAACAAAAAACATCAAAATCGCATCCCCCCCAAACTCGGGAGACTCAGGAGACTCGGGAGACTCGGGAGACTCGGGAACTATATGGTTGCCCGGCGGCGAATGCAAAATTGGGCCCCCAAACAGGTCCAAAACCATGAAAAACGACCAGTTCAGGCGAGGTCTAAGGGCTCAAAACCACTTCGGAATTCAGGAAATCCTATTAAATCAGAAGCGAAAATTGCATAAGTCCCCCGGGCAACCTAACGCTCACGAGTTTGAGACTCGGGAAACTCGGGAGATTCGGGAGAAATGAACGGATCCCAAGGAATTGGCAATCCTGGGCCAATCCGCCCCAAACAGGCCTAAAAACCAGTATGGCGTCGTGAATCAGCTCAAAATGACCTTATCCGACCTGAAACGAGCGACTCCGTACCAAACCGAGCGGTGCGGCACAATGTGAGCCACAGGGGTGGGATCCGTGCAGTTAGGCTTGGCCAACGCCCCCCTCCCACTCCCCTGAGCGCACTCGTGCTGACGTCCTAGGGCTCAAACCAGCACGCGCTGGCAAGAGCCCATCCGAGGATAGGGGAAGGTGAGATGGGAAGGGGTACGGGAGGCGACAGAGAGGAGGGATGTGCACAGAGCGCTGGTCTTGCACGTGGCTCTCCTGGCGCCCTAAACGAGAGGAGGGGGAGGAGGACACCGATAAGGATAAGGCCCATGGAAGAGGAGGAGGGGGAAGGGAAGGATGATGAGGAGGTGGAGGAGGAATAGGAGGAGGAGGGCGGCGACCACAACGAACGACGACAACTGAAACGTTTCGTCCAGGGCCACCCGGAGATAGCGCCAAGTGCAGAACCGCTCTCAGCTAGTGCCATTGCTCTCCCCAGATACTTTCCGCCCCCTCTCCATTCCTCCGTATTCATTTGGGCTCAGGGCCGCGTGCGGCTTCGCTTGCCCTGCTCCAGGCGTGTCTGCACATATCGTACTCTGAAGTGCGATGTGCCAGGTTGGGGCGTTGGGGCCTGAAGCGCACCATGCGCAGGAGCGGTGGACAAAAAAGGCTTCGGCCTGCCGCGTTGTGCGAGGATGACTTCGACGCTCTTCTGACGTCCAAGCCGTTCCACCACGCCCACAGGTTCAAGACTGGCGTGCCCCCAGGACCTGGTAGCCTCAGCGAGTTCGCTCTTTGGCCAGAGCGGCATTGGCGGCGAGTTGCTGAGCGATGCCCAGAGAGCGTTGAACGCTGGCGAATGCTGCTGGCACCAGGTACCATCAACACTGGCGATTACTCAGGGTGCGAGATGTCGAGAGAGATGTGCTGGCAACTCAGCAAAGGTCTTCCCTACGCCATCCCGGGGGAACCCTGGGCTCAGAAGACCATGTTCGAATTCAAAAGGTCATGCGATAATGCCTCGGTGCCTCGACATGCATTGAAGTGGATCTCGCGCAATCTGGATGGAGGGGCGTCTTGCGTGCTGGGCGACATAGAGGACAGCTTGCCAGACGAGGCCAAAAGCTGTTTGACAATGATGGAGCCTGCAGCCGACGTCAACCAGGACATCAATGTGGCGCGCCAGCAGGCGGAGGGCAGCTACAAGAATATGCTCCAGTGGCTGATACAGAACAGGCAGTGGGCGTGGCCAGCGTGCTCGCGCACGTGGTGTTTGCAACACGAGCGCCTGTGCCCAACGAATCCACACCAGAACGCATCCGATGTGGGCAAGCTTCGCATTAACTGGGCAGGGAACACCTGCGTAGCTTGGAGCCCTGTGTCCCTCGGTAAGCTGAAGGAGTACTCCCACTCATCGGAACGAGTAAACAATATCTGGGTTGCGCAGAGGATCAGGTTCACGGAGCTTGGCGAGGAGGATTGTTTCTTTCAGGAGTGCGCGAAGAGTTTCCCAGTGCAGCAGAAGCTTGCAGAGCCGATGGGTCCGTGGCTCCATGTTGTGTGGGTTCAGTGGGGGCCTCTTCAACAAGGCGAACCCCATCACCGCCCAAGGGTATTCTCATTCGGATGCTGCCGTGATCGGTTGAAGTGGATCGGCCCAGAGAGCCACGAGCTGGTGCAGAAGGAGTTTGAGGAGCTCTTCGGCGCCAGGGTTGTGAGCGACGGCACAATCTACATGAATGCCAGCCCGGACTACCTGAAGCGGGTTGGAGCGAAACTGTTTGCAGCACGGCATTTTCACATCGACAACGTGGATGACGTCCCCATAGACGGCGACGACATGTTAGAAACCGTATGCGCTGGCAATCGTGAGAGGCACAGGGACTACGAGCGCATCAAGGATGCAGGGCAGTGGGGCGAGGACTTCATCGCCGACTTGGACCACTGGCCGAACACCCGTTCCACTCACGGCTCGGAGTTCCCATGCCAGCTTAAGCATGGATGCATCTGGTCCTGGCGACTGCGAAGAGCTGCAGTAGGCCTTGAGCATCTCGCCGCCCAAGGGTTCCACGTCCTTGAGGGGATGCAGTCGCGCTACCACAGCCGCGTGCAGCCCCTCTTCGAGAGCCTGTCCGAGAGTAACTTGAAGGAGTTGTCTGGCAACGGCATGTGCATCTCAGCTCTTGCTGCGTGGGCAGTGTACGTGTTCAGCAACGTAGTGAGGGTCGAGGGGGCCAAGCTGCTAGAGGAGCATGCCCTCGCCACCGCCGCCGCCGCATCGACGGCATACTGCCCGGCAGGCGGCGAAGCAGCTCAGGCTCAGACCGACTTAGTCAGAGGAAAATATGGCACATCAGGCGGCGCGCTGAAACGTCTTGAGATACATTGCCGTTGCTGCTTTGATCGCATGGGCGAGTGCCGTATGCTTCCTCTGAGTCACCCCCTGTGGCCCCCCCTGGGACTCGTGGGAGTGCAAAGTAGGCAGGCCGCTGGGGCACAATTGAACGATGGCCAGGAAGGGGGGCTCGTCCCTCATCATGCCCCTCTCCCTTCTCCTCCTCCTCCTCCTCCTACTAATGCGTCTTCCCCTCAACCTCGCCTCCCCTCGTGCTCCCACAACGTTCAGGACATCCGAGGGGGGCGACCTGCGGGTTGAAGCGTCGCCTCAAGAGGGCCTCAAGTGGCCTCCAATCGATTGCAGAGCAGCTTGTGCCATTCTGTAATTGCTGTTGTTGCTCAGTTCGCATTGCGCATGCGTGAGGCGCACGCGGGACTCCGAAATCCATTTCGTCGAGGCCCCCCTTTGCTTCCGCTCACCCGGGCCACGCCGTCACGCCATGGCTGATATGTTCGGCGAGGACGAGATGGATCTGTCTGCCGTCCCGCCCCCGGAGGCCGTCCCCGAGGGCGGCCGCGGTGGCCGCGGCCGCGGTGGCCGCGGGAGAGGCGGCGGCAGAGGAGGCCGTGGCCCTAGAAAGCCTGCTGCCAAAGCCGCTGCGGAACTGATCAAGTACTGCATCTGCTGCGGCCTTGAGCGCCTGGAGAAGTTTAAGTTCTGCGAGATGCACAAGCGGTACCACGACACGCTGGAGTGGAAGCTGTCGAGGTCCCCCAAGGCTACCTCGGAGACGAAGCAGGAGTGGAAGGAGCGAGGTGTGACAATGGCAATAAGTATGGGTCCATCCTCGTCGGCCCATTTGGTGTCAAGTGTAGGTAGGTTGTCGGGTGGGGTTTGGGGCATAAGGCACAGCAGCCCTAACCCCCATTCGAGCTCCAGCAGGACGCTCAGTTCAACGACGT